AGTATATGTAAGCAAAATCTCAGACATATTTAAACATCTGTTAATAAAACTTCAAAATGCACTAAGATACTATTTACGAAAACTTCTTAGTTTATAAATTACTGACCTATACATATCTATCTTAGTCTTTTATGATAAATTACGCCTCATGAATATGTTTCTAACAAATCTCCATTTATACTTGATATATAAAATTCACGTTTCATCCTAACCTGATGTGATATCATTAATATATATATATAAGTCAAATCACATATCTAACAAACATGCTAAAACATTTATTAACAAAACTTCAATATATACTAGTATGCTATTTACGAAAACTTCTTAGTTTATAAAACGCTGACTTACAGCCCAGTGTAACAATATCTGTGGTATATACTTGTTCTAGTATGTTATTGGTCAAATAGAATAAATCACCAAAAATGAAACAGGGGGGTCATTCTCCAAAGTAATCAAAGTTTCTTTATTTTAGAAACTATACAAAACATATCATGCACTTGAAACCCGTAATTAAATTGACTGTTCCCCATCGTGCTGAATATTACCACTCCCCTACAGCTTAAAACTGACGTGCTTCACCATATGCTATCTTCAATATTTGCAAGTAAAGGCTTGTAAAGTATCACACATATTTAAACATATTTTTAAAATATACACACATGTGATCATCATCTCTGCATAAATCATTTTGGTGAGTGCCCTATTTATTTTGTTTATGGAGATTTGTTTTATTTACGCAGAAATGTGATTAAGCATTTAAATATTTCTCAATAGAGCAAAGGAACTTTCTAAGAAGTGACACCAAAGGGTAAAACTCTGTGACCAATGCTATTCCACCATGACTTGCTGATTTGCATATACAAGGTCCTTTTAATACAAGTACTCAACCTCTGTATTCTTGCGAGCAGGGTAATGTTGATACTAGGTAAATGTAAAGGGTCACCTTATATTTAGTATTAAATAAAAGTTAAATTTTACGTTTCTATCCTAATTATTTTGAATAAATCACTGAATTGCTTCCTTCACAACATTGTTTTAGATATTGCCTCTGTGTGAACAAGAAATGTTTAATTTTTGGTACTAAATGAAATTCAACTTATTATTCAAACAAACCAAATAAAATTTAGCATTTTAGGAGAAAAAATTTGGATTTGGGTGTGAAACATATTGGCTGATATACTGAAAGTTTATTTGGAAGTTTAATAACTCCTAACAAAGTCAATTTGGGAAACCTATTAAATATTGAAGAGGAATTTTGAACAATTTTTTTTACTAGAATATTGTTCCCTTTCAGCATTAAAAACCTAGTGTTAACAATATACATGTGCATTTATTCTTTATATAAATATTTTGTTTCAAACCAAAATCCTATTCTGAATAGAAACTAACTTTACGTTTTTTTAAAATAAAAAATTGTAATAATTGATGTTTGTATTTTTTCCATTGTGATAGTAACACACTCCATCGTAGTTAAATTCAGTATTAGTTAAAATAGCTTAAGAAAGTTGTGCCACCTACATATAATTACAAAACATTATCGGGAAAAGTCTACATGATATCGAAAAAAAAGGAAATGAATAGACTATATATGTTGAAGGACTTCGGCATATGTGGCTGTTTAGGGTGGATTTATGACTAAACTATTTCCCTTCAAATAGGTTCTGTTTTTAGTAACTTCTTATATGTACATGAAATTTATTTTGTGCGTATCTATATATCGAATTACAGCATTCTAAGTGCATCCTTTTTATTACTAATGAACTTTCCAATTCTAGATTTAACTATGAAGGACAAAATATTTCTTTGTAATATAAATTAACTTATCAACAGAAATTACTGTAAAATGTATGAAAAATAATACTAAGAAATATAAGACTGGCGTCCTCTTAAACAATTGCCTGATAAAATCTATACAGTTTTCTTGTTCCCACAAGGATGATGTTCTGATAGTGTTAATGTTAATAACATATTTACAAATGTCTAATTGAGGAAATAATTGGGGAACATCTGGGTGCAAGTGATCATTGCTCTATTAGGTTCAATGTTTTGCTGCATATGGAGGTAAGGAATAATGATATTTTGGTTACAAATTTCAAAAAAGGAAATTTTGAAGGGATGCGACAAGAATTATATGTTGTAAATTGGGCAGATGAATTATTTGAAGACACTGATCAGATGTGGAAATTTTTTAAATATTCAAGGTAAGCATATTCCTTATAGAAAGAAAAGGGTAGCTACAAGTAAAAACCAGTTTGCTCACAAAAAGTTTAAGAAATAAAATTAAAGAAAAGC